GCGTCCGGGCGCGCGGGGGGAGGAGGCGTCAAGATGGGTGGGAAACGGTCACCGTGCTCCAAGGAGGTGCCGGGGGCCGGCGGGGAGCACAGGGGAGGGCTGCCCTAACCCCTCGGAGCAGAGGGCAGCGACTTGGTCGCCTCCCTTCCCGCCTCCACAGACCCACTTAAGCACTGAGGATGGATGATGAAGGCCCATGCAGGGTAGGGAGCGCTGGGACAGGAGCTTGCCGAGAGGAGAAAAGCGTTACCTCGACGCAGCCCCTCTGCGCTCCTCACCTCCGCTCCCAGCCCGCGGAGCGGCCCCGGCGAAGGGCACTGCACGTCGGTCTGTCCTACCTGGTCAGCGGCAGGTCTCTTCTCGCCGTTGGTACCCTGCAGGAGCCCCGCCTCTTCGGAAAGTTTATCTGACTTAACGTCAACTACAATCTTGTCTTTACGTGCCTCTGGCTTTGTGCTAGGGGAGGGAGGTGACAGTTTTGAGACACGTCCGAGATACCAGGGAGGGCACAGGGCCAGCTGAGCAAGGCCAAGCCCTGCAGCTCCATCTCGGGGATGCTCTGGAGCAGGGCCGGGGGCAGAGGAAGGCTGGGGCGAACGGGACTCCAGCTCGGGCGAAATCTGGGGGTGCCCAGCCCTCCGCTGCTCTAATGCTCTGCTGTTCTCCTCATCATCGCCCTGCGCAGAAAGGGAGAGCCGCGTGGACCCCCCCAGGCTGCGGGAAGCTCCAGGTGCTGCCGAAACCCCAGCGCGGTGCCCCCCCGAGGTGCTGCCCTGCTGCCTCCCACCCCGTCGGGGCAGGGAGCGGCGGATGCGATGAGATGGGAAGCGTGAGCGATGACGAGCACCTCCGGCCCCGAGAGCCCCCTAGCAGGGCGGGAGGCAGTGCTTACATGTCCTGTTTCCCAGCGCGGCCACACGAGATCTTGCCTTTCTTGTGCAAGAAGTAGATGATAGACCCCAGCACAGCCACCACGAGGATGCAGACAATGATGGCCACGATGATGATGCCTTTGCTCTCTGGTGTCTTGCGATCTGAACACAACAGGAGAGGAGGAGGTTAGTGCGTGTCCCAAACAGATGCTCCCCAGCTTCTTTATAGCTGCCCCTCCTTGGGGACAAGGAAAGGGCACTCCCCCCCCCCCCCCCCCGCCCCCCCCCCCAACACACACCCCCCGCTGCTCCCTGCGGGACGCAGGTGGTGGTACAGAAGTGCTCTGGTAGGGCAGCTCCTGCACAGCCATGCTTGCCTTTCTGCGTCTATCGGCCACCCCGCTGCATGCTCGCGGGGCACGGCTCACAGGGGTTTCTGGCAAGGCCCCAGGCCATCCCTTCGCTTCCTGGCCCAGAGGGGCCGGGCTGCAGGAAGCCATGCTCGCTGGCCCTGCTGAGCTACAGGCTGAGGGCAAGCAGGCAGTTTTTACACCACTGTGTAAAAAAAAGCAGAGACGGAGTCTCCGTTTCCCACTCTGCTTAGCAGGGAGAGAGGAGAAACGACACGCGCAGCACAAGAGCCAGCGGACAAGGCTCCTTCCCATGACAAGATGCAAGTATGACTCCTGTCGATGGCACACTTCCATCAGACCTGGGCTGAAGGATGCATGCACCCGGCACAGCGCGGAGTCTGACCTTTTCTGATGGTCTCCACTGGTACGGCAGTGAGGGGGGGAGAGAGACGGAGCTCAGCCACGCCGGGCGCGTGGCGGCCCCTGACAGGGCAGCACGCATCGGTGCCCGTGCAAAGGGCACTAATCCTTCTCCAGGCTCCCAGAACCGGGCAGGCAGAGGGAAGTGCGGAGACTCACCGAGCAGTTGGATGTGCTTCTCACTGGTGCCCAGCGCATTGGAGACCCTGCACATGGCTCCTGCTTGCAGCAGGTTGTGGTCCACACGCACTGTCAGGTTGCTGGTGACGTGCTGATTCTCCACGTACTCGTGAGCCTGCAACAGAGGGGAAGGAGCGAAGGATTCAGCGCCCGGGACAGCTCACGACCCCTCGGAGAGGCCACGGCCCATCCCCAGCTCTCACCGTCCCGTTGATGTTCCACTGCACGGAGGCCCGGGGGAAAGCGATGGCCTTGCAGGTCAGGTTCACCACCTCGTCCTGCCGCACGTAGAGCGGTGAGCTGATGGACACGATCCGCGGCTCCCCTGCGGGGCGGGCACGTCAGCACCGACGGCTCACGGGGGCGACAGGGCTCGCCCTGGGGGGCTGCACACCCATGCACGCGCCAGCTCTTACCCTGGACAGCCACAGCCACCTGCTTGCTCTTCTCCAGCCCGGGCACGCTGTGCGCAGACACCTTGCAGCTGAAGTTGCTGGAGGTTTCGAAGGTGAGGTTGCTCAGGAGAAGTTGTTTCCCCTCTGCAACCTTCCTGCCCTGCAAGGGGGAGAGGCCCCACAGCAGTCAGCCCTGAGTACGGCCCCTTGCCCCCCCCTCCCGGGGCTCTGTGGGCATCCCAGAGACCCTCAGCCCTCCCTCCACGCACAGCAAGGGAGCTTGCTGGCACAGGATCTCCCTGGAGTGCTGGCCCAGAGGTGAAGAGGAGGCGGACAGCAGGCAGAAATGGACACCACAGGTGCATGCAAAGAGGGATCCCACCCTCAGCCTCTCTGGAGGGACGGAGCAAGCTCCTAGCTCCGGCCAGCCTGCTGTGAAAGCAAGGCTTGCCAGGCCAAACCTGACGGTGCCCAAACGCTTGCTCACCCTCGCATCCCTCCACTGGAAGTCGAGGGCCACAGGGCTGTCGGCGTTGCAGCTCAGCTTCACGCTGTCCCCTTCCCAAAGGGGTGAGGACGGCTCCATCTTGACGCTGACCCCTTCAATATCTAGGGGAGGGGTGGAGATCGGGGTAGGGTAAGCAGGAGGGCTGGGTACCCGCCGTGAGATCTGTAAGGTGCCGTTCCCCCCTCGCCTTACAGTTCACAACAAGCTCCACATCTTTCTCCAGCTGTCTCATATCATCCAGGTCGAGGGTCTGGCACCTATACAGGCCACTGCTGCTCCTCGTTACATCCTGCAGGTTCAGCACCCCGCTGTTGGTGTCCGCTAGCGACGTCAGGTCCTGCCAGCTGTCCTGCAGCTGCAAGCGCAGGGCGGAAAGCACTGCTGTTAGCCCCAGGCAGGCACCCTCCATCCCAGGCTCCGCATCCTGCTCCCTGGTGCCCTCTGGGCAGGGGACAAGGGACAGACAGCACATGAGATGTCTGCAAAGAGAAGAGGTCTCTGCTTCCCCTCCAGCCTCACCCCTCTCTTGTAGAAGCTGAAGACGGGCGCTGGGTTCCCGTCGGCCTCACAGACCATCTTCACGTCGTCCCCCTCCTTCACCAGCGCCGGGGACGGCGAGACCTGCAGCATCAGGTTCTGCGTGGGGTCTGGGGGAGGAGGGAGCAGGGAGGGTCGGCGCTGCGGGGCCGCTGCGCGCCGGCCCGGCCCCGGCCCCCGAGCCCCGGACTCACAGAAGATGGTGACGTTGACACGCCGCGACTCCACGGTGTGGCTCTGCCCCCACAGCCAGTAGGGCACCCTGCAGTAGTA